CCACAAACATGTCATATGTTACCACTAGATCATTTCAAACATACAAGCAATAGTGGTACTATACAAGCATCAAATTCATTTGATTTTCATGAATGAGCCTATTTAAATGTGAAATATGTCTAGATGCACTAATCAAGTCCTTAGCAAGGATGTATGCCATGCCAATTAACTTTTACCTTAGATAGCTCGAAGGAGAGGCATATCATAAGAATGGGGGTGCATCAACACATATTGGAGAAGTCAAGTATGTTCAATTCATACCTTAGCTTGCAAAATCTCTTATCATCAAGTGGCTTGGTGAAGATGTCGACAAGTTGATCTTCGGTGCCCACATTCTCAATACAAATGTCCCCCTTTTGTTGGTGATCTCTAATGAAATGATGGCAGACATCTATATGCTTTGTTCTTGAGTGTTGAATTGGGTTGTTGGTGAGCTTGACGGCACTTTCATTGTCACATAGCAATGGCACTTGTTTGAACTTAATTGCAAAATTATTCAAAGTAGCCTTCATCCAAAGTAATTGAGCACAACAACTACCGGCCGAAATGTACTCCGCTTCGGTGGTTGAAAGTGCTACACTATTTTGCTTCTTTGATGACCATGACACAAGTGATCTTTCCAATAGTTGACATGTGCCCGATGTGCTCTTTCTCTCAACTTTGCATCCCGCATAATCGGAGTCCGAATATCCAATCAACTCAAATCTTGCTCCTTTGGGATACCACAATCCAACATTTTGTGTGCTTCAAGTACCTCAATATCCTTTTTGTTGCCTTCAAGTGACTTTCTTTTGGTGAGGCTTGAAATCTAGCACACATGCATACACTAAACATCACATCCGGCCTTGATGCGGTCACATAGAGTAGGCTTCCAATCATAGACCGATACATCTTTTGATCCACCATATTGCCACTAGCATCAACATCCAAGCTTCCACTTGACCCCATGGGTGTACTAATAGCTTTGCTATCATCCATTCCAAACTCCTTTAGCATGTCCTTTATGTACTTGTCTTGACTTACAAATGTTCCATTCTTCTGCAACCGGGGCATATGTTTCTCCAAAGTCAAGGCCTTCAACTTGAGTGTAACATTGAGCCACTAATCTTGCTTTGTTCCTTATGACTATCCCATCTTGATCTTGCTTATTTCTAAAGACCCATTTGGTTCCAATCACATTGTGTCCCTTTGGTCTTTCTACTAATTCCCATACTTGGTTTCTTTTGAAGTTATTTAGCTCTTCATGTATAGCATTGATCCAATCAACATCCTCCAAAGCTTCATCTATCTTCTTAGGTTCAATGGATAACACAAATGAGAAGTGCTCATAAAATGATGTCAATCTTGATCTAGTTTGCACACCTCTTGAAATATCACCAATGATTGTGTCTAATGGATGATCTCTTGCAACATTGATTGGTTGGAGCACTTGCACTTGATTGCTTGCATTTGATTGATCATTTGGTAGAGATGATGAACTAGCCATTTGTTGATGATCTTGCACATTGTCATCACTAGTACTTGCTTGATTTTGATCATGGGAACTGCTAGCTTGCATATTTGAGTTAGAGAGCACTTGATTCTTGTCATTTTCAACATCAATCACCTCTCTAGGCCTTATCTCACCAATGTCCATATTCTTCATTGCATTAACCAATTGAGTGCCTCACACATCATCTAGATTCTCATCTTCCTCTTGGGAACCATTAGTTTCATCAAACTCTACATCATGAACCTCCTCAAGAGTACCACTAGCCAAATTCTAAACTCTATAAGCTTTGCTAGTAGTGTAGTAACCAAGCAAGAAGCCTTCATCACATTTCTTTTAAAACTTGCTCAATCTAGTGCCTTTCTTCAATATGTAGCATTTGCATCCAAAGACCCAAAAGTATGCTATGTTTGGCTTTCTTCCATTCAATAGCTCATATGGTGTCTTCTCCATCAAGGGGTGACAATAGAGTCGGTTGCTATAGTAGCAAGCCATGTTGATTGCTTCGGCCCAAAATGAATGACTCACATTGTACTCACTCAACATTGATCTTGCCATATCAATCAAGGTTCTATTCTTTCTTTCAACTAAGCCATTGGATTGAGGAGTATACTTGGCCGAGAATTGATGTTTGATTCCAAATTCATCACACAACTCATCAATTCTTGTATTCTTGAATTCACTTCCATTGTCACTTCTTACTTTCTTGATGGTTACTTCAAACTCATTGTGAATGCCTTTGACAAATGATTTGAAGGTTGCAAACACATCACTCTTATCAACAAGAAAGAACACCCATGTGTATCTAGTGAAATCATCCACAATCACAAATCCATACTTGTTTCCACCGATGCTAGTGTATGTGGTTGGTCCAACCAAGTCCATGTGCATCAACTCAAATGCCTTAGATGTGCTCATCGTGCTCTTCTTAGGATGTGTATTACCAACTTGCTTTCTGGCTTGACATGCACTACATAGCTTATCTTTTTCAAATGTGACATCCTTCAAGCCTCTAACTAAGTCATGCTTAACCAACTTGTTCAATTGTTTCATTCCAACATGACCAAGCCTTCTATGCCATAACCAACCCATGCTAGACTTAGTGATCAAATAAGTTGACAATTGAGCTTCTCTAGCATTGAAATTAACTAAGTATAGATTCTCATATCTAAATCTTTTAAATATCAAGTTTAAGCCATCTACACTTATGATTTCTACATCATCAACACCAAATATGCACTTAAAACCAAGATCATACAATTGAGCTACCGACAATAGGTTGAAATTCAAGCTCTCTACTAGTAGCACATTGAAAATGCTCAAATCATTAGATATTGCAATCTTACCAAGCCCTTTGACCTTGCCTTTGCCATTATCACCAAATGTTATACTATCAATCCCATTGCTCTTGTTTTCATTGATTGAATTGAACATTCTTGAATCACCGGTCATGTGTTGTGTGCACCCACTATCAAGCACCCAATGTCTTCCTCCGGCTTTATAATTTACCTACAAAAGAAAATCAATTTCTTTTAGGTACCCAAACTTGTTTGGGTCCTTGTAGGTTAGTTACCAATGTCTTTGGCACCCAAATGGCCTTCTTCTTTGGGCCCATAATTGGTGTACCAATGAACTTAGCCTTCACACCATTGGCACCCTTATAAAGCATATAATAAGAATCAAATTTGATTGAGGATACGTTAGGTAGCTTGTTCTTGTTAATCTTGCAATTTTGCTCTACATGTCCAACTTGCTTACATCTATTGCAAAACCGATCATTGCCCTTCACAAAGCTAACTTTGGGAGTGACAAAGGCCGCCTTGCCTTTCTTGGGGGTATAGCCTAATCCAACTTTATTGAGAGAAAATCTTAGGCTACCCAAGCACTTTAGCAAGAGAGCATCTCCACCATAGGCATTGCCTAAGGCACGAGTGAGCTCATTCACCTCCTTCTTGAGGGTTTCATTTTTCACCTTTAGTGATGCATCATTTATAGGTTAAGTGGAGGTGGTAGTGCTACAAGAAGTGTTAGTGGGAACAACTATAGTGTGCATAAAAGAATCATCAATAATATCACATGTTAGTCCCACATCACAAGATATAGTTTCTTGCTCTTTCTTGGCTTCCTCCTTCTTGACTTGCTCAATGAGAGATGAGTGAGCTTTTTCAAGCTTAGAGTGAACTTTGCCAAGCTTCTCATGGGCATACATT